GTACCTTTCGGCAGTCAACATTTGACACTCTGTAAAGATCCAATACAAGGTACATACCACTTTAATCTCTGGCCTTCCACACTGGTCTGAACTCTGCAGCATCTCTCGCTTCCGATTTCCAGGTCCACTTTATCAGGTGTATCAATGAATACACCATATCCCCGCGAACTCATCCAAAATGGTACATTCTGACATCTCGTTAGTATCGCCCACAGATTCAAACGAAGCAGAACGAACTTTGTAAGCTTGGTCGCTCGAAGTTCCTCCATCTGCGTTCCAAAGCTCAATAGACTGGCCAACCCTATTGAATGCTCCAAATCTCTCTCCTAAACCAAATACGGATTCTCCGACTGAGAGTGTCGATTGAGTGAAGATATAATGTTCAAAGTCCCTCATATCTGCGATTTGCATAGGATTGCTAGTTGCAGGACTATACGCTAAGCCAACACTTCGATTGAGCAAGGATGTAAGTTCTTTCGAGCCATCTGTAGCATGAAATCGGATTTCGAAGTCATGATTGCCAGTTTTCACGGTAGCCGATAATGATCCTGATTTCAGAGTGGTTGACTTTTCTGTTTTCGCTATTTCGGCTTGACTGTCCTCTGGCTTTCCTTCTGGAAACAGATCAAAATGAGGTCCTGGATTGAGAGCACCCAAGAAGTGTGTGGTCTCGACGGATATAACTCCATCAAATGGAGCTTCTATATCCTTTTTAAGATCAATATGTATTTCATACTTATCAAGTGTATTGACTTACGATTGTCAAGGTACTCAAATTCAATGAATCTGACCTGGCAAAAATCTTTCTGGTTGGGCATAGCAAACTCAATGCTTTGCCATCCTCACGTTCCGTGATAGCATATACCTCTTCAGCGTATTCCAGTCGTTTCCCCTCCGCCGGCAACCACATCCCATCTCTGAACTTCATCCTGAGAACTTCTGTTGTAATCTGCTAAGTCAAATGATTACTTTGTTATTTTCAACTTAAGAATCAATCTTCCAAGTCAAGCAATAATAAAGTTCACAATCGATTCAATCTTATTAAAAGTTCATCTACACAACTAACTATCAAACATGTTATTCCATCAAAACACCCCACTTCCCAATAATTAATTCTGGGTCGTCTTATTTTTGGCTAAATACAATTTTCGCCAAGGGCTCCGATACGTTGATTTAGTGAGGGGTAGCTCTATTTATCCGCCCATACCCGCTCCGCCTTGCATATCCACACCGGATGAAGAAGTCGAGATTGAATTTTCGCACGAATATTGTTCCGGTAGGACATCCACCGCAATTTTGGAGAGCTTCCACGAGTTAAGTTTGAGAATCAATTAAGATCCTGATTTCCAGATCCTTTCCACACATCCATCCCCACGTATCACGAGCTCTCATACGAGTGTCTAAGGCTGCAGGTCGAAACCAAGATGTATTTGCGGGGGGCGCGGGATCAATTGTCCTAGATTCGGCTACCTTTGTCTCGGGTTGCATTCAGACTGGTTGGCTCGGATCCATGAACCAAGATCACGTCTTTCCCCACAAGTCACCCCGACAAAAGTATCTCTTTACCCAGTGAATAAGAGAGATGTGAAAATGCAACTAAAGATGCAAGGCCGAATATGATGCTGGAAGGTGCACTCCGTGGTCTGGGTCGTTTTTCCTGGGAGCATTAAATAGCGAAGAATTCCCAGCGTCAGATTCCTTCTCCTAAGCATACCTTTCAAGAAGACATTACTTCTTCTCCATACTTAAGATGAAGGTCCCCTCAGCATCTGTGGCGGCTTTGCTTGCCTACACCGCCAATGCGTCGTACACCAATTCCACTCCAGTGTACAAGGATCCAAATGCAAATGTGGATGACAGAGTTGCGGATTTACTGTCGCGGATGACCATCCAAGATAAGACTGCCCAACTGATCCAGGGCGATATCTCAAATTGGCGTAACATGACAGATGGCACGTTCAATGCAACCGGTTTGGCATGGAACATGGCGACTCGCGCTGGTCAATTCTATGTTGGATATCCTGTTGCGCAACAGCTGATTGCGGACGGAGTGAGACAAGCACAAGACTATCTTATGCATAACACAACCTTGGGAATTCCAGCTCTGGTTCAAAGTGAAGGTATTCATGGTTTCTTGATCGGAAATGCGACAATCTTCAACTCGCCCATTGCACAGGCTTGCTCCTGGAATCCTGACTTGATTAAGAAGATGGGAGCAGCAATTGCACAAGAGTCACTTGCTCTTGGTGTTAACCAAATCTTTGGACCATTGGGAGATTTGGCCCGTGAATTGAGATACGGAAGAGTCGAAGAGACCTTTGGCGAGGATGGATATTTAGCAGGCGAGATGGGATATGCTTATGTTAAAGGTACGTTAACCAAAGTGTTAATCCGGGAGAGTAGTTCTAATAGAACTAGGTCTACAAGCTGGAAATGTCAGCTCGACAGTGAAACATTTTGCAGCCTTTGGAACTCCTGAACAAGGATTGAACACTGGCCCACAACATGGTGGAGAAAGAGAACTTCGAACCACCTATTTACCACCATACAAGCGTATGATCATGGATGCCGATGCTTGGTCTATCATGTCTGCTTACCATTCATATGATGGCGTTGCACTTATCGCTGATTATCACATTCTCACTGAAATTCTCAGAGAAGAATGGGGGTACAAATACTGGGTAACCAGTGATGCTGGTGCGACAGATCGTCTCTGTGATGCTTTCAAGATGTGTCGATCTAAAGGCAACGGACTACCCATCGATTCGGATGCGGTAACCATGTTTGTAAGTAATCTTCATATCGAGTTGAAGCTCTGCTAATCACACACAGGCACTTCCTGCAGGTAACGACGTCGAGATGGGTGGTGGCTCTTTCAATTTCCAAAAAATTCCAGAGCTTGTCGAGTCTGGAGTTTTGGACATCGACATTGTAGACACCGCTGTATCTCGTCTTCTTCGTGCAAAATTTGTCCAAGGCCTTTTCGAGAATCCATATCTCGCAGCACCAGCAAATGAAACTGCATCTTTGATTCACACTCAAGAGCATATCGACTTGGCTCGAGAACTTGATGCTGAATCGATTGTCTTGTTAGAGAACGGAAAGGGTGTTCTTCCTCTTTCAAAAACGGCCAATGTTGCTGTGATTGGACCCATGGCACATGGATTCATGAACGTAAGTCATGGAAACTCATTCTTGCATTATTTATCTAAAAAGTTCTAGTATGGTGACTACGTCGTTAACGGAAGTATGTACCGTGGAGTAACTCCATTGGACGGAATACAAGCTGCTAGTTCAGGAAGTAAGATTTCAATCTCAACATATATTTATGCAATAGCTAACCTTTTCTAGGCGTTACATATGCTCAAGGTTGCGAGCGCTGGTCCAATGACCAGTCTGGATTTGACGAGGCTGTTTCCGTTGCTAAAGCTGCCGATGTAGCTGTCGTCGTTGTCGGAACATGGTCGAGAGATCAAAACCAACTTTGGCAAGGACTCAACGCCACAACAGGAGAGCATGTTGACGTCTCATCCTTGAACCTCGTTGGCGCCATGCCCCACTTGGTCAAAGCCATCATTGATACTGGAAAACCCACTGTCGTCGTCTTTTCTTCCGGTAAACCCATCACCGAAGCATGGATTTCCGCAAACGCATCTGCACTGGTCCAACAATTTTACCCCTCCGAACAAGGAGGAAACGCACTCGCCGATGTCCTTTTCGGTGACGTCAATCCAAGTGGTAAACTCTCTGTCGGTTTCCCATACGATATTGGAACTACCCCAATTTACTACGACTACTGGAATTCCGGGCGTCCAAACTACCCAGGAGAAGCCTTCCCCAACGGAACTCTCTCCTTTGGCCACCAATATGTCCTCAACTCCCCTATGCCTCTCTACGAATTCGGATATGGAAAATCCTACTCCACATTTGAATACTCAGATGTTACCCTCTCAGCCACAAACGTCACCGCTAATGATACCATCACCGCCACAGTATCTGTCACTAACAACTCTACTCGTGATGGTTCGGAGGTCGTACAACTTTACGTCCAAGATGTGATTAGCAGCGTCGTTGTTCCAAATATTCAGCTCAAGGGTTTCTCTAAAGTAGCAATCAAAGCCGGAGAGACCGAAACCGTCAATATTGATTTAAAGGTTCAGGAGGTCGGATTGTGGAATATTAGAATGAAATATGTAGTTGAGCCAGGAGACTTCGTCGTGCAGATCGGAAGTTCGAGTGCGGACTTGAGAGCAAATGCTACTTTTACTGTTATTTAGAGGGGTGTTTGATCCTGTGGTTATACATCATATAAACAAATTGAAATGAATTTAATGAATTTATCTATGTTCGGTCTTTGCGGTCGTATCGATTGTTAAATGTTTATTTCTTCGTGATGTCTATTCTATAACTACACATGCTTATTGTAGAGCATAATATAAATGGATTAAGACTCAAGTGCTAATGTCATAGGTACTGAAGCTTGATGCTCGAGCACACGAGTTGAAAGTTCTCCAACATCATTTCCAGGCAATTGTTGTGATAAAGGCTGTAAATGTCATCCTTCAATCGTATCATCCCAAAAATCCAAATTCGCCCAATTTTACTTGAAGATTATTTGACATCCACTACAACCTACAGTACATAAATCATACAATACTTAAACTCAGTCTCTTCGCAGGTTATCTACGACAACAACTACAAATAAGATGGGTGCAACGTTGGATTTGAAAGCTTATGTGTCTCGAGCTAATTGACAGTCTCAACGACCATCAGGGAGTGGGATTCGTCATCTTGGGGAACATTACAAGTGCGGGCCATCGTTGTGTATGATCTTAAGTGGTAAATTGAGCTTGGGCTTGGTGTTCCTGACGATGCTGCGGGTATAGGTTATTTTAAGGTACTGAAGGATGAGGGATCAATAAGGTTGTACGTACTTGAGATATGACCAAGGGGCTTGGCTAGTGGACATGATTTTGCTGATGACGTCTTTTTTCAATGATGAAGGTGACTAGTTACATGAGATGAATGGAAATAATTGTATGAATTACTAAAAAGGTATCAATGATTATGATATTATCAAGAATTTGTAAACTTCGAGCGACTCAAGATGTACGGAGTATCATGAAGCTATTTCAAACGGAAATGCGATCGCAAAAATTCATCCCCTCGGAATGCACCAACCCCACCCTTGAATACGATTTCAACTTTCCAACGCCATTCAAAAAATCCGCCGTATCCCCCTTTCTTTCACTCTCTCCTCTCTAGAAACCGTTACAAGCACCACTTCCAGCCACACTATTCAAATCCTTTGGAATAACTCCCGCGTTTACCGCATCCAGATAACTCCAACGGTAATCATTCAACTGTGCCTTCCAAGTCCAGAAAATCCATCCTAATGCGTGGTTCTCATATCCCATGACTTGTGCCTCGAACCATTTTTTGTAAAATGCACCCTGAGTAGATGTCGTCCAGCCCGCTGTATCTTGTACGTTGTCTGGAGGAGAAAGAGAGAACTCTCCTACGACTGTCGGGCCACCGGTGCTGGAAATAGGATTATATGTGCAAGAGGATTGGAGGTAGGCGGTTTGGGAGACGGCCACGTTGGACCATTTAAGGTAGCGATGCTCATCATCTAAATGTGAAAGTATATGTTAGAAATCTCATCAAGAGAAACATTGGGTTGCAAGGAGAATTTCTGAGAAAAAAAAAAATAAAGAACTTACAAGCCAAAGAAACACCCCCAGCCAGACCAACATTTGGATCTCCAGAGCCCCATCCTTGATCCATAGCCTGAACATGCAAGAAATTGTTCGGCTGTACACCTGCCGCTGCTTCAGCAGCTCGAATGGCCTTGTATGCCGCGGGGTAAAATTGCGAAATCATACCCGCAGCCTGTCCAGCATCTTGGACTGGTTCGTTCACAATACCAATCATTCCAACATTTCTGAAAGCAGGGTTTTTGTGAATATTTGTTGTGAGCCAAGAGAGGAATTGTACTCCACGAGCATATTGATAATCAGCATAGAATCCGGGAGTCGAGGCATATTGTCCTGAATCCGGGTTACTTGCAACTTGCGCTCCAGGAGCTCCATGCATATCGATAATGATGAAGAATCCGGCATTAGCAGCCGTGTTGCAAATACTCTCAAGATACTGGAAACCGCCTTGAGGAAAGTGTTCACTATCGGCATAAACCAAACTTTCCATCATCCAGTATCCGACTGGGATTCTAATTGTGTTGATACCGAAGCTTGCCATTTGTGCAATATCATTAGCATTGATCCAAGTCTTCCAGTGATTTTGAAATGCAGCGTTAGCTTTTGCTTGTCCCAAACCAGCCACGCAATCGAATTCAGACTGGTACGGACCGCAACCCATAGCTGACCATGCGGTTTCAGCAATCCATGGCTCGAAGACGAAAAGAGATCCGAGATTCACACCTCGAATCTTGCCGGATGCTGGAGTCCAGCGACGGGCCGTGGGATGTTTCGCTTCTGGGTTGAAGAGAGATACACCATCTTCTGAACGGAGATCTTTCTCACCACCTGGCATCCAAGCGCCAACTGTGCTAGCCAGGAAGGCAGTAAGAAGTGTTGAAATGTACATGTCGAGGTAGCGGAGTAGAGAACGTTATTCCGAAATGCAGATAGGAGTTATGAGAGGTATACGGGAAATGGGAAAAGAGAGTTGATACACCTCGGTTCCAGATTCACTATCAAAAAAAAAAGAACGTAAAGGAAATTTGCAAAAGAGTGTGGAAATTTTGGAAAACGGCGCGTGGCCAAATGAAAGTAACTGTCACAAAGGACTTGAGATGATAGAGGACAACCCCGTGCATGATGCCTCTTATAAGATATTGCACAACTATTCATTTGAAGGGTATGTTCCTTTCGGCACACTAGTTGCCCTTAATAATCACAGCGTTCCATCATAACGTTAAATTACACCTCGATAGTCACAGTGACTAATCATAAGATCAAGTAAGGAGTACACAAAAAGGGCCGTCTTTGTGTCCCGTCCGTCCGGCCATGAACTTGTTTTGGGGCAGTGTCATATTGAACTTACATGACATTCCCGCAAAGTTTAAATAGACGTTTAAACATCGTGAACTCAAAGACGAAGGAGATGAGTATGGCAGGGCAAATGTTCCTTCAGCGTGATGCCCATGAAGCGAATGGCCTAGTCAGATGTAAGGCTGATTTGGACAATGAGTAAGCTGATTGGACGAAACATCAACACGTTATTGCGGTCTCAGGGTTTCGTTAATTCAACATGAGATCTGGCCGATTCGTAACCACTTGTGTAACGATGAACATCTCGATAAGAAAGGTTGGAGCAACCACTAGTGATTATTGGGAATGTGCTTTCCCCAGTAGAATAGCAGAAATGGCGGGGAAGTTAAGACTAATCAGATGGATGTACCGACAGCAAAGAATCCAGAATCCTTCCAATTTCGCTTGAAATGGTATGTTTCAAGACTACCAAGCTGCGGATTCGACCTAAATCATTCTTTTTGAGACTCCGAGGATCTTTGGTCAGCTCTTTCACTAGAGGTTCGCCTACCAATATAGTTTTCTCCGTCTATATTGAACGAAGTCAGCTCAACTTGGAAATGGATTGCCATCCGCTCAACAGCAGACGTGAGAAATCACCATAGCCTGACATGAATTATACTCTCGCGATTTGAAGAGAAATCCAGCACGAAATACCAGACACAAAGCTCAAGGGACTATTTGATTGTCGATTCTGCATGTAGAAGTTCGAGACCTTCATCATCAAACTCGAATTTGGATGTCGATTTTAGTGTTTAAGCTTTGTTTTCTAGCCACGAGATTGAATTTGTTTTAGCGATTAGCGAGGTGTGCGTCTATCTGTGTGGAGGCACAAGCACATGATCAGCTAGCCCCTATCAGCCATAATATACTAAATTCACGCTAGTTCAGCTAAATTATACATTGTAGTGGAGTTTCCGCCCCCATCGATCGTTTGCATTGGTGAGACTAGACTCGCACACGATTGTCAAAATAAGTTGTACACCAAGCAAACCTTATAGTCAATACTCGAATATCATTTTTTTAATCAAACACTTTCAATATTCCATTTCGAATCTAACAATCGAATGCATTGAATGTTCGAAGTTAGTTTAGATATTCAGACATATATGTCTGAAATCCCACCTTAATTCGTGGTTATTTTGCTTATATGGAGACTAATTGACTCCTTAAATCATTTTTTATTGCAACTAAGCATATGATTGACAACGTGTAACAGTAAAATCTGAACGATATCAAAGTTACTTCGGGGAGTAATCATGCTGGACTTAAGCAGCATTCGAGGATCAGGAACCGCAGGCGGAGTATTCTGATGAAACGTACCGTGGCGTGCGATGAAGGAATATTGTACAGTTGCACGGTACCCGACCCGCACATGAGTTCTCCTGCCGTCATTTAGATTCTTCCTTCACTCGGTATTTATAGAAGATTTGTCATGAGTGTGCTGCTGAGCTGCTGAGATCTCACCTGGAGTGCTGCCGCTAGCGGACCTGTAGGCTGTAGATCACCTGCCAAACAAACAAAATGCCAATATGCCGATATGATCATTGCATAAACTACCAACAACAACACCAACTTCTTTCAATTCTGTAATAACCTCTCAATCATGTCTATCTTTAATCCATTATTTTCCATTGCATTGTTTAATATACGCAAAGCCAGCTTCCTCGCTGCAGTTTTCCCACCTTTCCAATGACGCAATCCAAATTCACATATTTCTTGAGCTGAAAACATCTCTGGGATCTTCTCATCATTGGTTCACAACTTCGTATCTTACTTGATAAATCTTTGCAACCGGTGAGGATCTTCAGGGTCTCAAGTAAGAGATCTACGAGAAGCTCAAAAGCTAATGCTTGATGACTCAAGTAGACGTCTGACCTCAGGTAAATAATATACATCGTGCAGATATCTCTACGTAAATACCCAGTGGTAAGCCAATTTCATCAGTTGGTTGTTTTTTCTCATACACACTTCATACATCATGGTTTCTCTCAAGAATGCTATACAAGCTTGGGCGGCTCATAACGTCGTCCGCAGCGTTACAAATTCTCGAGAAGAGCCTTCTTGCACTAAAGCTATACCATCAGATATCACTATTGGACAACCTCAAAATATATCAATCACAAGTTCAGACGTTCATCGATCTTACCTTATCGTCGTTCCACCCCTCTATGCATCCCAATCCTCGACTCCAGTCATATTTTCTTTCCATGGCGGTCATCGAAATGCATCGCAACAGCTTGCGCTGGATCAAATGACTAATCCTGAGTTCAACAACTCCGCCATAACGATATACCCTCAAGGAGTCAAGGTAACGAGATCCCCTAACTCAAAAATAGGCCAAAGATTAACAAAAATCAGGGGAAATGGGAGGGCAACCCTGGAAACACAGCAAATGACACTCAGCTCGTCAGCGATATAATTGACAGTCTTGACAAAACATACTGCATAGACAGCAAACGCATATGGGCCACCGGTAAATCTGATGGGGGTGGTTTCTGTAATACTCTAGCCTGTGATCCCATCCTCTCTACCAAAATCGCTGCATTTGCTCCTGTCTCTGGTGCATATTACATCGACATTCAGCCATGTTTCCCAAACAATGTCACGATCCAATGTTCTCCAGGACGTCCCAAGATTCCCATGCTTGAGTTTCATGGCGGTGAAGACTCGACGATTCATTATGATGGACAGGCTAATCGGTCCAACCAGTGTATACCGACTGTTCCGCACTGGGTACATCAATGGGCCCTGAGAGATAAGTTGGAGCTGAAGAATGTCACGACTAATTTGACACATGACACGGTTGTGTATAGTTATGGAAAGGGAGAGGATGAAGGCTTAGTACAGCATGTTTTCGATAAGAATTTGGACCATGATTGGCCGAGTACGGTGTTGAATGCTGATCTGATTGGGCATGGGGAAGGACCGGCGAGCTTCAATGCTACGCCTATTATCTTGGATTTCTTTCAAAAGCATATTTTACCTTAATTTTGAGGTTTGTGAATCGTTGATTAAGGATTTTCCATGGTCCGCATTGGCAGATTGGTTATAAGCTTCTGATTTCTGAAAATAAGATACGACGTTGGGGGTGGAATTCGTGTTTCAAAACATTTGATCTTTTATCTAGATCCAGGAATCGAAAGCTTTCGATTTTTGAACTGCATCTTAGGATATTTCAATGTTTTCCAATCCCTTTGCCAAAATTATTTTGTTATTCTGCATTCTACCTCTTATTGTGGAGGTACTTCCATTGGCCTCTCCTCATAAGCCATTCACCATACGAGAATATTATGTGATTGCGTGTGCCGGACCATTTTTTATCGGGCTTGTACTGCTAGTAGTTGTAGCTCAATTTAATGCTTATCTAGAAGCTGGCCACATCCCACATGCTACGAATAGACTTCCTACATCATCGACGTATGATTGCACCCTATATATAGTCTCTCAGTACTTCGTACAATGCTTTGAATAGATTTTTGGAGTGAGCACTATTTGTACCTGGGAGACATATTTGTCGCAAAGACCGATGTTCAATAGACAGGCAGTGGAATAGCCTCGTCATTTTCAACCATACTACCATAGAAGTGTGTCACATATTCCAATGCCCACCGAAAATATTCAAACTGTTATATTGAAATAGACTGTTATGGTGAGTGAACTAAAAACAGTGTCTCAACTGAGTATTCCAACGACTACAGTTTCATTAGCTGGAAGAACTAATGTAAGAGTTGGGGCCATCGCTCACCGCACACTAAGTGATTTCGTGACAAAATCCCCGCAAAAATAATGTTTTACCATAGAAAATCAAATATCAAATAAAACACTCAATTGTTATATTGTAAATCAGAAAACTTTATATAATATAAATTGATTCATTAGAATTTGAAAAAAATGAATAGAATATTTTTAATAATTTTTGTTATTGAAATACAGAATCTTAAAATTGAAATTTTCATAAAATTCTAACATGTAACGCTTTTCCCATACAAAATAATAACTTTTTTCGAATTTTTTGAAAAACTCAACTTTAAAATCTTTTATTTCAACAATAAAAATTACTAAAAATATTTTGTTAATTTTTTTCAACGATTCTAATGATTTTCTATCATTTCACAAAATTTCATAAAATTTGATTACTATTCTATCGAATTGATAGGTGGTTTAAAAATTGAATAAATGATGGTTTTTGGTGTATTTTCGCTTAGTGTGCGGTGAGCGATGGCCCCAACTCTTACTATCATATTTCTCTTCTCGGAGTGTTTTGAACTCAATGGTAGCATCAATGACGCCAATCCCTTCATCAGCGCGAGAAGGGACAAGTTCATGAAGGACAAAAGCCGTTAAACGGCAGATTCTTGCCCGAACATTGGCTCTCCATGAACACACTTTGGACAGGGCGTTATTACTTCGGCAAATTCAGACACATTTGCACCATGAGCGTCCACAAGTATGTGTTCAAGCCATGAAGCTTGAGAATCAGGCGGGGAGAAAGTCACACCGACTGTAGTATAAAGCAGCCCGTCAACCCAGAAATAACTGTTGGGTCACCTATGACTCAGTTCATCGATTGGTTAAAAAGGGCCTATTAATACCTACTGCTACCCGTGGTCAATTATTAAGAGATTCTGAACTTAAATTGAAGCTTGAAAGGAATGCTGAAATCAAAAACGGAGCTTACATAAATTTTGATGTGTTATATCAATTCATTCCACAAAGCTCAAACCAAACGTTTGAAGAACTTTATGTAATTGGATAGTTCATTCTCAATCATCCTATGCATTTTCCACTCAGTGATCATCTTGTTCTCCAGAATTCGCTTGCGAACTACACATCAATATTTCCTCAAGGAAAAGCTTTCGCCTTCTACCCGAGGCTACCTCCATTTTCGCTTATGATTGTCATGACTTGCAGTACAATCTAATAATACCGTTCCTTAGGGAACTTCAATCGTGAGTGTTTGATTTTCATAGAAGTTGTACTGTTTCTAAATCTAAATCTAAATCTAGTGTACATTCATACGGCTCATCTTTTAGCAAGAATTTGACTACTGAGTGAACTTCCTTGAATACCATACTTCTCAGACACTAATAAGAATTTATTTATTTTACTACTGTTCAGCATATCTTATATAGTCTTACGCTAACATTTACAATTGAACAAATTCGAACAAACAAATCTAAACAAATATGATATCAACTCTATCAATATCATAACAACTTTGTTGCCTTTTGATTTGAGTTGTTATGTCAATGTTTGCTAATAATCCCAAGTCATCGAATTCGAACCGAATCCGAGATATCTATAATTCAAACCGAGAACATTCATCTGATAACGACGATATGATTAGCGTCAGCGAACTGAATGAAAAGCAACGTCAGGAAATTGCTCAACTTCGTGAAAAACTCACTACAGCTCAAATACGAGTTGCTACACTCGAGGAAAGAGCCATTCATAACGATACCCGCAACGAAGACAAATTGCTGCGCAGCGAGGAAAGATATAGATGTCAAATCCAAGCTCAAGATATGCAAATTCAAGAGCTCAAGAGACTTCATCGAAAAATTCTATCAGTAGGAGTTGTTTTGGTTCTATTTGCTTTGTCGAGATATCGATATAGTAGATCTCTATGTAAGTATATTCGGTTAAAAAATGGGATCAAATTTCTAATATTGTTTAGGATCAATTTCAACCTACAGCCTCAAGAGATTGGTTCCTCTATCTGTTACCTTTCGACAAAATAAGTAATCCAATAAGGATGTTTCACCAGAGGAGTCAATGAATGGATACACAAAATGAATCATACCTCGACAAGATACCTCTCTTTTCTTTGATTAAGGGAGGCAAACTTAAGATAATCTCAGAGGTCACTAAACACGATAAGCTTGTCTTGAGCTTTTGTCACGGATTTACTAGAGTAGATATTGTCACGCTTTAGGCATCAACTTATCAAATGGTCGGCGCTCTTTCTTGTTTTTGTTCCTCCTCTCGAGCTCTCCGTAGAATATCATATATTCTACCACAACACTTTTCTCGCAACGTGATGGTATGATTGATTGAGTTAGCTATTGGAACTCTTTGCGTGAATATTTTGCCTGATTGTGTGGCGGATATCACATGTCTAGACAGCACCTGAGCGAATAAATGATCGTTAAAGATATTTTGATATGATCATCGTGTGTGTTATATGTGACTTGTTGTATAGCACTATGACCCTCTTTCCAAAATGGAAAGCTTGGGATGAAATTACTAGCAAGCTCACTGGGAAACTCTTAATCTTGATTCAATATCAGGAATTGGTAAGAATTTGAAGGCAGGAACAATGGCGAGCTCGCGGAAATCTTCTATAATATCTTCAATATCCTCTCACTCGATTATTTCGAGAGATTCTTGCAAATTGATGCTTAGAACTACGAGTTCGAGGAGTTTGATTGCCAAAGCTCAGTATTGAGGCGGACGAAGCATTATTCGATCAATCCTCGAGGACCGCGACTAATACATAAATCGAGGAACAAGGGCTAGTTCGGATATACAGAAATACGTCGATTTTTTTTTTCAAATAGCAGGGTTTGCATTCACGCTTGGTCGTAAACGCGCAGATTCTACAAAGCATCTTATAATTCAACGAATTTTCGAAAGGACTATCTAGAATCTAAATCCAATCCACATTTTTGATGAAATTTATGTGAGGAAAAAGTCGTACGGCGGTCAGGAAGGGTAGTCCGAGTACTCACTTCAATGTATCAAAGAATCGGTTCCTTTTCTGAGTCATTGTAGGCTATCATAGGCTTCAATACTCCAAAATTCTACTACATATACTGAGAATACCCCATAGCTATATTCGTATACTTTTTCAAATGAATTATTGGCGTTGAAGCGATCCCCATATCCGCTTGTTCTTTAGCCAATTAGTGAACGGCAGCAAAATGTAACGCAGTTATACGTTCCACCTCCCTTGCTTTTGACGGATTATGCAGCAAATTTTACATGCAAACAACAGAAGTGCGGCCCGTCGAATTCTGTAGTTTTACAGAAAATGCGGGGTCCGCTGCTTCAAAGAACTGCGAAGGATTCAACGGATTAATCGCGGAATCGACATGCAAACTATCCCCAAGCCTGGTGATACCTTCAAGGCGCCAATATTGACGATTCCGGGTTTCGATATGGCTTCACTAGCGAGTTCGTCATAAAAAACTACGGACGAAGAGCAGTTGATGACGACGGCGACCAAGATGGCGAGCGCAGAGAAGAGGGAGATCATAACGCTGGTGACAACAGAAACGATGACGGTGACGGTGAAAGTGACGGACCAGGAAGGAGAGGTGCCAAACCGCCGCAGCAGAAATCACAACAATCTTTGTACTCACAATCACTTCTTATTTTTGTCGAAATTTTACACCGAAAGCGAGAAATATAGCGGGGATAATGACAATTTCAACTTCTAAGTCTTCAACATAATCTCTCTTTGAAACCTTCCCCATAATGCTTGAATACAGCGCACTAGACTTCTTTCTTACTACGCATGTAGGGTTGCCGATTTATCCAGAACTTTGCTACTACATGCAGAACGACTTCGAAGGAGACGAATATCAACCCAACATGCCCTCTCAATGTGACAGCATTACATTGTACTCAAGTCGAGTAAGAGAAAAAACAACGATTAACCATTCAGCGAATGCTTTACAATCATAATCTGGGACCCCTCCTATTGCAACATAGGCCAATCACACCTACACAATAAGTTTGTTATGGCCAAAAATACTCCAGGAACAACTTCCGTAACAAACCACGCAACACTCTTTATAGGCTCGAGGAAAACATGTTACATTTGCAAGAAAGAGGGGCAAGAAGTGAACACAGGGAGAATTTTGAAACGAGAAAAACAAGGCCTTCGACAAACCATACAATTAATGAATCATTGAGAACAAGGGGGAAGCTACCAAAGCCGACTCAAGCCCCGATGCCGAAAGGAGAAACTTTTCTGCAGGATTCGACATCGAAGATACTGTCGACGATGGTTTCTCCAAAAGTCCAGGACTGCAGAACAGAGCTTGATGATTGATATTCTGGTTCCAAGATAATGCTGCGAGAATATGAAAATTATGGAGATGAAGTGCATCAACCGCAAATCAACCCTGAGGACGCAATGGCTGAGGATGGTTCACGTTAAGTACCTAAGTACCTAGGTACTGAAGGACTTGCAATTGAATAATACTAGTAAGATTATTTTTAAGGATATACAATGAAAAGAGAGGAAATATAAGAAACGAGAGCTAGGAGAACACTAGTCTTTTGATGGGGTAAATGAACTCTAAGATGTATATTTGCGGGTGGAAGACTAGAAAAAGATAATGAAGAGTTTAAAGAGTATCAGATTTTCAAAAGTACTAAGGAAATGAAATAATGTTATTAGAAAATCAGACATTATTAATGAAATGATTAATTAAATAGAAAATTGATTGAAGAATATAAGTAAATTAAGTTTATAATTAAAAATAATATTATCGCTCTTATTGAAATATAAAACGAGTTAAATAATAGTTTTATACTAGAATATAACTAATTATATAACTAGCTAATCAAATAAACAGTTAGTAGAGAAGATAAAAAATATTACGAAATTACACCTGAGTTTTAGCGCGATTGAGATACTTTGTTAATAATTTGTATAGTTATTCTTCTTTTTATTAATCATACTACGTGGTGTATTGATCTATACGATATTTGTAGGGTATCATCACTACATACTTTTCATACATCCACCAATCTGATTAATCGACTTCCTGTTGATACATCGGCATCTGACTTTTGTTGGGAGATGTTTAAAGATCAAGGAACATGCATATTCTGAAGACCAAACCATTGCAAACGCGGCGCGAACATGTCCTATCGTTCATCCAATGGAGCGATAAGCATTTATCTGCATGCATGTGGTCAGACTTGAGTGGGAACTTGCCCTATAGAATTAGGGTTATTCGGTATGGCGAGCGCCAAAGGCTGGAACTTTCTCACCAATCTTTCACGACATATGCAGCATGAAGACAAAGAATGGTGGAGGTGGATAAATCTCCTATCAAAATTCTACTATCTGACCTTAATTTATTCCAGAAGCTTTCAGTGGAGAGTCATTGGCAGACGTTATTACACAGGGTAGTAAATGGGATGGGCTTAGACATGCAGTTCAACGTATTCCAGTTTGACATGCATACATTGCCACCATAATGATATATCACGTCTCAAAGTTCTACAGAAAACAGATCTCCTGATAGTGTATTGACGTTAGACGACATACATCACTGCGATGTTTTCTTGGTTCGCGACAAAATAGGTTATAGATTTTTATACAGCCCGGGCGTCGTACTACCCACCCTGAATACCTAGAACCAATTATGAACACCTTAACAATAATCTCTGCTATTGTGACTACGTGTCTTGTACGGTGGCCGATCAGTGGCTCTTCAACGCGTTTTTCTCCTCAATCATCTGACCCACCATGCAGACTCTTGCAGGAAGCCTTCCCACTTTGAAATCACCAACTAGGTTAGGAGCCAAATGTAAAATAAAATTGAGTAAGGAGCATCGTGGTAGGTGTCGCTGTGGCAGCACAACCTGTAATTCCCCCAGACAACCTAGACATGGTTTCGCTCATCTTGGCTCTTTGAAGGAAGACTACTTATATCTCTTTGGCAAGCCGATCTCTTCTTTTTCTCTGGACTCTGTCCGCGGTCCTATTGAATAGTTCTTCGTGCCATATTGTTACGCGTCGGAAATTCTTGGAAAGACGTTCGATTTCTGTGCAATCAAGAAACACTTTTCATCAAATCTTGCTCATCATATATCAGCAGTATGTTGCTATCATCGCGTGCGACAAGAATACTCGAGGAGGTTAAGAATGTAAGCCACTGGCCCTCTTCGTTCTCGCGATTCAAAAGCTCGTAGATGCTCAATGATCTTGCAAACAAAAATGCGATGTTGCACGAAATTTATTTTCATGCTAACGTTCCTCCGATATTAGGGATGCTGTATGCTTTATGGTGCAGAGTATTTCACTGAAGATGAATGGGTGAAAATAGACGCGTTACTGCACAAGGGAAAATATGTTTTTACAAACGGCCCACAAAAACAGTTGCAAGATGCGTACGAACCCTCGGAATCTCAACAGCTCGTGAGGATCGAAGACAAAGCCGTATCCGAACCTCCCAGCAGCACTCAAGCTGGTCTTCAAGGGTATGATGGACCTTCTGAGGATGAACCAAAATCTGACGCCTTGGTCACACTGACTAACAAAGGGCATGGAAATTTTTCGGGGTCACCATCAGATGCAACTTGCTTCCATTGCCAGGCTCGTCCTCAGCTCCCCGAAAATGAGACTCGTGCCAAACTGCCCAAGCCAAAATTTGATCCTTCCGCAGCGGAATTTGTGCGCAGTTATGAGCCAAAGAAGGAGGAATCTACACAACGTGTATCAACAAGAGCGAGTGACGAACCGAGAATAATCCTTACTAGAAGTATGGCCAGTTCTGGTACTCAGTCATTGCCTGTCGGCTCACGATCTAAGAAGCCAGCATCTGGCGTCCAAGCAGGCAAGTCTTATAAAGCCATCAAAGATTTTCAACCACCGCCTGAGGCACCTGGCGGGATCCCAATATCTTGTGGTGATAAAATTAGGGTCAAAAAACCTATTGGTACCAATCTTTGTCTGGGGTTGAATACCAGAACTGGACTATTTGGTAGCTTTCCTGTGTCTGCGATCTTAGAGGACGATAAGACAAGCAGCAAGAAAACGGATCATGGTAGCCCAGCTGTGAAAAAAACTGGCGGCTTTTCGATGGATGATTATGATAACAGAAAAACGGCTGAAGTAAGTCCTGAATCATATGTTCTTTAGAACCGCCTTGGTCCTTAATTATATCAATCATAGGCTGATGCTAGAGATTTTTAGTGGGAGGATGAAGACGAAGACGACATCTTACCACCACCGACTGAGCCACAGAATACCTCGAACAGTGTCGAAGGAACGAACCAGATAGAAGGCCCGGATCGTTCTGAACCTGCTGCTTCGGCTAATAGTGACCGCGAGATCAATAGTGAGAGTGACAGCGAGAGCGCTGGAATGGAGTCAAGAGTCTCTAGTCTAAATACAGACCATGATGAAGAAGTTGCCAATGAGCAGAAGCCGGACGATGCGGACTATGAAAATAAGGTTAGTTTCACTTTTCATGATACACCTCCCCCTACCTTTCTTTCAATTTATTCCAAAACTTCCTTTGTGAACTCGGCTTAATGGCACAAAGTCGACCACCTCAGAGCGAACAGTTATACACAGATCTCAATGAAGGTTAGTGCTTTTGTATAATCTTGTGTTTTAAGTCGATATCAATGTATGATATTGCAAGTGGGATCAAAACCGCAACTAAATTTCTCATTTTCAAAAATATATCATTATTCAAATCACAAATTAACCCGTCATACCAGGAACTACAAATGACCAAATATCGTCCCAACAGGTCATATAACAGTTCCCCTAAACCTGGAAAATTTATGACCACCCGGGACAGACTTCGCATAGAACCTCATGAAATTGTCGTTCCAAAGACTGAAGTCTGTTAGTAAGTAACCCACTCCCCTCACACACCTTCCAAAACCACCTACTAACCCATTCCAGTTACTGGGATAGTCCCAAGGGCTGTCGCTTCCCCGAAGCGCAATGTCGTGATCTGCACGAACATCGCGAGTACACCCTCCAGACGAACATACGAAACGGCAAAATCAACCCCGGCGTTCTCTTCGATGTCGTTTATGCGATTCCCTCCCCGGAGCCTGGCAAGCAGCATCAGCCCGCCGACCCGAGTACCACCGTCGGAAAACGTTTCACGTGCTTCTTTTGGCACAGCCACGCTTCGTCCGAGAGTACCAGGAAGTGTCTCAATTCTGCGGCGGCGTGTCAATTCCTTCATACCTATGTCGGAAGCGAGGGTATCTTATATAAGGAAGTGCAAATCCAAGCCTTTAAGAATCGGAACAGGAAGCCAGTGGCTAAACAGCCGCTTTCACCTCCTTCCGAGGCTGCGGACGGTCAGGGATGGGGTTCGGCTGAAGACGCGTCTCCTGCTTTAGATTGGTAGACAAGAAGCAAGCATACAAATTGCAAGACAGAGATAAAGGCTTCGAAATTGACATGGTACACATCGTACTCTGGGTCAACACAAATATAGCGAGGATCATCGATCGGAATCTTTGATAAGATAGCTTTCGTTTTCTTCTGGCGAAAAATCGCCAAATACGGTTCTTTAACTAAATTGAAAAATTGGGATTTTTAACTAAATTGACAAAATGGGAATACAACATAGCTAGGAACAATAAAAACAGAAAATCATACTCTACTTTTCCTCCTTGCGTTTTCGTGACGCCATGAAATATTCCCCAGGGGAATTTGAGGTACTTTTGTGATGAATACTCTGACGTTGATACCATTTGCAGGCAACTAAATAGCCCGACATGGTCGAACAATTACAATATACGCCACAAGAACTTTATGACAGCAAACATGACGCTTGAGTAACACAGTATCGTTGACTAGATATTCAGCGAGCTCAAGGACGTTCTCGGATCCTCAAGAGTTCTGAATTTGACCATCCTAAACTATCTAGGTAGCCGCTTCGGTCACTCTATCCTTATCTCATTACCCATTGAATCAACGTACCTCCGCTGAACTTTTGAGTTGCTATATATAACAGAAGCAGAAAGAACAGAAAACAGTGGTTCAAATCTGAGAAGCGAGGTTGCAGGGGCAAGAAGCATGAGAACGAAGTTTAAATACTGGAGATTACAATTACAAATAACTTAAATCCAACCCACTAATCAACCGGTTCTCCAACCTAAATCCCATATCCATTGTCCATAAGTCTTATCCAATTTCATGTCCCATTTACGTCGTAACCAATATCCCCAGTACCGATATCCATCCGAACTCCTGAAATGTGACAATATAAAGAAAGGTTTCATGATATAATTTCGTATCATAGTCGCAGCCATTATAGATATCGACTCCTCAGAGCTTGGCTGATAGTGCTCATTCTACTTGCCATGCCACCTGCCTGCATGTTGCTCGCGAGTGCCTCTTCTAGTGCGCTTTGCGTTACGGACGCGTCTAAAATTCATTGGAGTCAGCTGAAAGTCTCATTCGCATTCATTCAATAGTTGGAGAGATTTCGTGACAAAAAGGATACTGAATTTGAGTTTTAAAAAGTACGGGGTATCAATGAGATTTACAAAAGGAATGAACGGAAAACACGAATAGGATAAGCCTCATGACTTGAAACTCTTGGTAAATGGGGAAGACAGACCATCCAGATCACTAAAACTACTACCCATACTTGGTGTTCCCCCATCACTTCTCTCGCTTTGTAACTCAGTTGTGCGACGAGGACTCAATGGGCCAGTCAGCGGTCGTCTGCCACCTCCGCTTAAAGCATCGTGTCTTTTGTTCACGATTGGGGCCGAAGAACTCGTGGAGGAATCGGAGGTCTGCGATTCGACTGGCAATAGTTTCTTGGGGTGCGCGGACGTTCGCCGAGAAGGATTGCGGGGGTCAATCCGAAGGGTGGCGGATGGATCTTGCGGGGTGGGAAGAAAAGCGAGTTCATCATCTGATGAGGGATCTTTGTTTGTTTTCTTGATAGAAGGAAAGCGTTTGTTAAGCAGGGTTGATTGGAATGGATAAGGATCGTCATCGGAGGAGTCTTCAGGAGAAGAGAGTTGCGCCGGTTGTGGTGAATTTCTGGGTGGATGGTCAATTGCTAGTGAGGGCGGTCGTGATCGCTGCTTTGGTGAGAGAGATCGTCGGTTTGTGGTGGCTTGAGTTGGTCGCGAACTTGGTGCCACGAATGTGCGAGATTGAACAGTTGTCTCCCGAGATGATGTGCGAGAAAATGGCGGAGCTACTTGACATTAGATGTTAAACATATCACTTAATTGAAATGATGAATCATACCTATTGCGCGATTGGGGGTATTTGGCACACTTCCATCATTTTTCGAGAATGGAGTACTCTTTCTATTGGAAAGGGAGGACTGAATTCGTGGGCCTGCTAGTTGTGAGCTCCTGGGCTGATGGGTTTCATGCGCTGCTTGCGAGGTACCTCCACCTCCAGATCCAGTTCTCCTCATTTCTTCTCCACCTGCTTGTTCAGATATACTGTCTGGAACTGGCGATGGAGCTAAAGAGCCTTTGGATACCGTCGCTTTCCTCATCTGCTCACGAACTTGTGAAAATTGTCGTTCGTAAAGCCATGCTACCTGCTGAAGAAGGAATGGAAGAGTAACTTCGAATTTCGTAGCTCTGCGAGCATGTTAGGATGTGTTGGAGAATGCGCAAACGAAACCTACAATGCAGTCCCTAGATCTATTAGCAAGGCGATTCTTATAAACGATTCCAAGTACTTACAATCAACATCGCTATTCTTTGGAGCTTTGAGCAATATCTTCCAAAGAGCCTTGTCTTTTCCTGCATCCCATTCCACCTGAAGAAGATAGTTGTTAGTCTAGTATCTTTAATACATGGGGATATTCCATACCGCTGGAGGATCAACGAAGTCACCACGCGGAAATGGTAATTTTACAAACACAGTATAAGTTGGATCTGATTCTGCGTCTGAATTTGACATTGTTGTTGCGAGTTAATTGCGATGATGTAGTTAATGCGGTTGTTGCTTTCTCCATACCAAGCAAGTACTCTTTATCGGAGATGGTCATGCACTAAGATAAAGCTTAAGGTCGCTGTAGTAATAATGCAGGGTGCACCTACCACTACCATTCCCTCTGAAAACATACAACCCGAAAAATATATCAAGATGCCATCTGCCAGAGTGTTAGATCAACGTATCAAATGAAATTTTCCATCAGTCTTATGATTATGAGTTGACTTGAAGCTTAAGAAGATTTTCAAATCGACTAGGAGTAGCCATTCATCATTGTTTACCAGAAAGCTGTGTATATATATTTAAATAAAGCTCCCGGCGCCATCTCTTCCTTGGTTTGTCGAGAACTGAGTGTCTAGCATGGTGTTGTGGTTTAGTGGTATAATTCTTGCTTAGGGATATATCTGTCTTCATTGATTGACTGATTCTCATGTAAGAGGTCCCCGGTTCAATCCCGGGCAACGCCCCTGCACTTTTGCATTTTTTTTGCTTTCATACCTACCTACATACTTCTTCTTTCTTACGGTCAGCTTACTTTATGCTCTACAGAAAGATTAGTGTGGAGGGGAGATTTCGTTTGCTTTCGTGGTGGGGAAGATTTGTCTGATAATGGCAGACTGTTAGCAAGCTCACCCGATTGGTCACAGCTTTGCCGAGAACTCCTTTTCTCTTCAGTCGGTATGAATACAAACTAGTCTTTGGCTGTGGATACTGATATTTAGTCACGCATTCCCTCTGGAGGCATGACTGTTTTGTCCTGGAATATTCAATAGTTGTGCGGTCTCAAAGATTGAATGAGGCAACAGAGTAATGGGCAGCTATGGAAGCAGCCGAGAATTACATACATTGAACAGAAGAAAATACGTTGGTTCTTTTAACAAATGGCCAGAGTCTCTCATAATGTGAAGAGTAGCCTGATATTATGGGACTTTCGGGTGTTGAAGGTGCTTGAAATATTGGATTTTTCATGTTACATATATGGCCAAGTGGTCGATGCAAATACGTGATGACCCATGGCTGTGTCGAAAATTTTCGTTTTAATTTCTGACTGGATGGTTTTGGTTTCGACAGTGTTTGGCTGTGTCTACACTTGAATTCAGCATAACATCGTGGGCAAGTCAGGCCGAACGCTGCAGAGAAGCATGGTGAAAGATGCGACATGATTTCGCAGATTATCTTGTCTGGGACATCCAAGGCAGGCAATCAGTTTAGAAGATTGTTTGTAACAAAAAAAAGATCTGCTCACTAGGCAGTCATGGCGGGTTGAGGAAGTGGAAAATCTTTTGTGATTGGGATTTTAGTTATGTTTTTATTCTTCCCTTCATTGCTCTAGTCTCTAGGGGTATCTTTTACCTCAGTCATGGCTATGAATCTGTCGATGATAAACAAGTGTAAATATATCAGATGCAAAGGTTTCAATTTAGTTAATGGGCTACAGTCAAAATCAATTTCGAGTGTCACTTAGTATCATATGTAAAATCCATGGCCTCCCTCGGAGATGATCGTTGTCTTTCACAGTAGCACCAAGAATGGTCGATCACATCCATGATTTTTTTATACAAAGTTCAGAGACTTTTCAGATCAGATGACGAGACTTTACAGGCTAGAGAATATAGATGATAATCACGGTTTATGCGCGAACAGATGTCTAAAAATGCTTGTTATTGATTATGAATAGAGACAATCCATATGGGATTTAATGATATCCTTCTACTTCTCTTCCAGCTTCCCAAATACTACCCTCCTTGCCCCTGTTGATGCGTCTCGCTTCCTTTCAAAACCCGATCATTTCGATCCAGTCTGAGAAGTTGTCCAAAGCTCTCTCCACCGCCTCAGCAGCTTTCCATTTCCTATCAAAGTACAATCTATTTCTTTGCCAGATATTTGTGTACTTCCAGTGAATTTTCCAAAAGAGTGCAGACGGTGCCAGATTGATGCTTTCCACAATTACTCTCTTAGCTTTGCTATCCCATTCAGCTCCTAAATTGAAGGGAGAGGGGATTCGATTCACTTGGAGGAGTAAACCTCCCTCTTTTGAGCCCAGATAAGTCGAAGTGTCCTGTTCGTCATCTACCGACGTACAATCCGTACGATCAGTACGTGTAGATTCATAGTCCTGATATCTTTCCTGCAACATCTTCATCTTTTGGATTTTGTTTGCGAAGACAGACGCGAGAAGAAAACGATCCGGAACACCGCTTGAAGGGACATCTAATTCCGTCGTCATACTCGTAGAATACCCTGCGTTCTCCCTCGTCCAGCAGAGATCATTTTCCCAAAAGAAATATCGATCTTTCAGCCCGTTCCAGTTTTCAACTAGCTTGTACAGTTCGATTGGTGGGTATAATTGAGACATCTCGAGCTCAGTGACCGGGTGTAATCGGAAAGGAAGACTTGTATCGACCAGGCTTCGTAATGGAACCTTTGATGGGTATAGAGCTCTGTATGCAGCGTAAAGCTCAGGACAAGTTAAGCCAAGACAGGTCGAGCCCTCCCAGCCGAGTAACCCCATCACATTGTATATGATCTCAAGTGGAAGATCTCCGAGACGGCGATGAGTTTGGGTTGGCACTGCATCAATTAGCTCATGTTAAATTGTAAACGGGAATTATCATGTTGCTTACCTTGTAACCAGCAATTTGTGGGGACGTTTCTCATCGTGGTAGATTTCTGAGATTGATGTTTTCGTAGTGGAATTGAGTAACAAGATTGGTGAACTTTCTCAGTTGATCTTGCTTTCCGAAAATGATTTAGAAATCTGAATGAGATTGAGAATTTGATAGGAGATGCGATTGGGGGGATTGGAGGTTAGTTTATATGTTATTAGACAAGGTACGCTCTTTGAGATAGTGCCGTAGTAAATATTGCTGATAGAGTTACGGCATAATTCGAAGTAGACCGTAAACTCATAAACGTACCGTATTGATCGAGAACTTCATGGAATCAACCGTACCTGAACTTCTGCCTAATTATCTACCATCGATAGTGGTGAAAGATCTGATGGCGGTTTTCATTTGTCTCGAAGATGATTTTTGTAATGGGACCGTAACGATTCATAAAAGCCCTACTTTTAGAAAAGTTATGAGCGATCGTAAAATTACTAGCCGGTAAGACAACTTTGCATAGACCTGAGAGTATCAACTTAAGTGAAGGAAAGGATTTGCATATAGTTGAACAACATGTATTGTAGTATTAGACCAAATGCACTTTTAACATCTTTGAGACTCATCTTGAATCTTTCCAGTCATTTATTGACTCGTTCTTCTCATCACTCTATCGCTTTAGACCTCATTCATGAGTAACCATTCCGAAAATGCATTCGAACATATCTCAGCCTGGCGTTCAGCCCAAGCTTCTTGAAAACTTGCATGGTTTAGACGGAATAGAAGACAGTTCGTCCAGTACCATCTCCAGTGTCTTCTATCACGAGCCAAATCCATAGTGCTCAAGATCACCTTTCTAGCCTCCTCCTCCCACCTCTCAACTCCCATATTGTAAGGATTGGGTAGAGGACTCATCTTGAAAGCGGATTCTGGATCGTCCTCTTGTGAGAGCGAACCGGACGAAGCTATCAAGGAGTCCCCGATATTTTTCTGATTAGTTCTTCGAGGTCCAAACCAGAAACAATCCTCGTAACTATTTCTGAGGCTACATCGCAGCATAGTATTTCTCGAAATAATTTCTGGGGTATTATCAAGCGGAGTAATGTCATATATAGACTTAAGGAGGAATCGAGCTGGTATTGCCTCAGGATTGACATTAGAACCTTTGATACGTCCCCATGGGGAATCCGGCGCCCAACATGTGTATTGATGGCCATGCCATGTTCCTAGCAACTTAAATAGCTCGACTTGAGCCGATTTTGGAGGCTCACGACAAAGAGGAGGAGGAGCTGTCTCAACTAATGCTCGCAAGAATATCTTTAATGGGTATAAATGCTTGTAGATTTCGTACATTTGCGAACAGGTCAAGCCAAGGCAAACTGAACCTGCCCAACCAAGCTCTCCCATGATTCGAAACATGATATCGATTGGGATGTCTCCGAGTTCGCAAGTAGATTGAAGTGCTATAGAAGGATTAGTAAATATAGATTCTGAGAAGTACATATTACTGCACTCACCTTTCTCAAGAAGGACATCGGGGGGCCCTTTTTTCCTACTTGTATGTGATGTTGGTTCAACATCTTCCTTCTTTGTGATATATACCGTTTTCCCAGTATCTACAGGATATGTATTCAAGAAACAAAAGTAGTCGTGCTAATTGATCTATGCGGATGGAATTTCGGGAGAAAGCATACGTAGGCTCAAAATTTGTCAACACCGAGATTTGATGTTAACACCTGGTAGAGTTACTCGAATGGTGTCTGGATAGACTTTCATCTATCACTTGCAAGTAAAAGAAGATAGGAATTTGCAACTCAAGAGTTCAAGGATCTTATAAACAGGTGGTTACTTCATTGGCGCCGTACATAATGACCGTACTAAATTCAAAGATTGACAAAATTGAGAACCGAAGATATACGATCGCGCCGTATTAACCCATAATTTCTAGTGATTTCAATAGCGAGTGATCAATCAGTCAATTCTTCACGGCACTCCACATTATACACCATTCAGTCACAGAGGAAAGCTCTTTCATCTTGGGAGCTAGTCATGAGATGAGAGTGTTAGGATTCATAATTTTTTGGTGGAATCGACACCATGAACTTGTTGATTCAATGCTCAAATGTACAATGAGACTCAGTTCCTCTACGGTGTTGATTTGACAAACCACCTTGAATTCCCTATCGATAGCTAAAAGCGGTATTGTAGCGAACATGTTATTCTACCTGGCCCCAAAACTTTCTATCCCTCCACCATCACGACCTACACTAACCCTCCAACTCCACTGGTCTATCTTCACCGCCAAGCTCAGCTGCTTTCTCAGAAGGTACTGCTGATTGCTGACTGGGCGCTTCATGATACGTTGGAGGTTTCGTCAAAGAACCTGCTGGATGTTCTGTCAACGGTTTTGTTGCAGGCCCTCTCTTGTTTTTCCTTCGTTTGTACAGGAAGTATGCCAACCCAAGGACTGCGCAAAGTACAACCACAGATGCAACAGCAATACCTGCTGCCAATCCACCACTAAGCTTAGTGTGTTTATCCCTGTGTGTCGTATCAACTGCTGTTGAATTTGCAATAGCTCCGGTGGAAGAATTAGATGCCTGAGTCGAGGAAACCACAGAACTGGAAAGTGTCGGAGAAGAAGTAACTGTGGAGGACGAGGAAGAAGTTGTGGATGTTGAAGTAGAAGTTTTAGAGGATGAAGCAGAATCTCCGGTGATGACCAAAAATGCTGGACTTGACACATCACGAGAGTGGAGATTAAACGCAGGATTAAGGTCTTTAAAACGAAGGACGTATTTTGCGGTCTTGCCTAAAACACTGGTTGGAATATCGATTGTCCAGTCGTGAGTGCCGCTATCGTTGGCGTTGATATTCCCTATTAAAAGAAAATCTATCAGTATCATGAAGAGCCTTGGTAGTAAAATGGCAGGTCTTGCATAATTATACCTTCGAGTAACTGGCTATATGCAGTCTTTTCATACTCCCACGATGTGACCCACAAGTTCGTCAAGGTATCAAATTGATAGTCCACTGGCGCCCCGAACCAAGTAATCTGGACAGTGAGACCTTGTCTGAATGTTTGTGAAAGATCTGGCTGGGTGCCATCAGGTACGACCCAGATCGAACCGAAATCTTCAGCTTGCTGAGCTCGAACTGCTGAGAGGTAGAGGAAGCAGATACCCAAAATAGCTGTGTAGATATGAAACTCCATTGCGAAAACGTGTATAGGTTCAAGTCTTCGATAATCTTTGCTCGTTTTTATGGGAAACACGATCTGGCTAAGCCGCAAACCCATTAAGATTATGCATTCGGTTACAATATCTCTAATTGGCGATCTCATGACCGACAAAGTGAATACACGCACTTCCAGCAGTAATTTTGGAGTGCGAGAATGATTTTCTTGTATAGTCTCCAGCGACTTGAAATCACCTGGGCATGCTTATCTGATAAATTATAAACATCTTTTACTCTTGAACGCCTCTATATCTTATTACCAATATATATCTGGGATACTTCACTTATTAGACCGTTCATATGAAGTCCTCATCCAATCAGGTCTCGAATAAAGGTGAATGAAAGCTGGTGATGATCATGATATAATGTCACATGGTTGGCATCATCTAAAAAAATCCAGAAGTACTGTATAGCCGGCACTGAGCTACATAGATGAGAGACTCAGTGGTAACCAGGTATTCATCCTTAAATTATCAGCCCGGATTTTCTTTTCGCCTTTATATTGAAGAGCTACCATCAGAATCTAGATCTGAAGTCGCTGTTAGTATGATTCAATCACCATAGTTAATCGTTGCTCAGGAAAATCATGCCATTATCCTGGAAGGGTTGTCTGGTTGCTGACCGTGAGAATTTAAGATGTGGTACCTTTGAGCAAGTCGAGATGATAGTGTTAGAATGATATCAAACCGATGACAGTGTCATAAGCTTGGGTGTAGATTCATCTGAGCTGGTGTAGTGTAACATCGGCTATACCTCTGGTGGAACGAGTTATCAACCAAGTTGATACCAGCAGTTATGTCTCATCTGGCCAATATCGCGGGGAATGCGATACTAGGACATTTGGATGTGTGTTGATAGACTTGTATGCAGGTGGTTCAACTGGAAGTTAAGCGATAATAACTAAGTAATAAAATTTACTATTTGAGCTGAGCACGAGATTCTATCTACCGAGGAAACACATTCTGCTGATATAGCCGGAGATCTTTGTTTACCGCTGTCCTATTGCTCCCACACATATTCCACTGCTGTGGGACAGTTGGGGTCCAGTGCGATAACCTGGTCAGATGATCTCTTTCCCGAGTGTTCGACTATAACTAGTCCGGCCATTGTATAAACAGAAATTGGTTCCCTCTGTTGGAGTTCAACAATATAAACCCAACATCCTAATTATCGCTCTTACGTGATGACTAGCTATCGAGTCGAGATGTAACAAACAAGTTCTCAAACGACAGAGTGATCTTGGTTATAGTTGGTGGGATTGGTCGTGGCTAGGCCGCTGTTGTTGTCTCTACTTTGAATTGTTATTACGATTGTATCAGTTGCGAGATGAGTTTCTGATCATACCTATTATAATATTCCTCCTTAACAGCCTTGTGCTCTCTGTGACGCTCGCGAGTATCCTGGAATGTGGCGGTCAAAGCATGAAGAATACTATGGATGTCATTAATTTTTGTTGACTAAAGACCGTACCAGATGAAACTTACGTGCTAACAATGGCTGTGATGAAAGTTCCAAGAGGCAATTGACATCCTGGGTCAGTGGCATAATTATTCTGCGCTGCAATCTTCTTTCTCTGGCCATAGCAAGGTCCTGCCTTCCCACCATTTGGGCTCGTCAACACGGCGACGGCAATAAAAGCTCCCACAAAGGCTATGTCGAGCACAATTATGACCCAACGAAGGAATTTCGGCCCGCCGTTTCGCATACATAGTTTCAAGGCCATAACTGCAAGAGTGTAAACAATGGCTGCAACGAGGATACCTTCAATGGCTCCCTCTGCGTGGGAAATACTGCGATAGAGTTTATAAATCTTTCGGATGCGGATAGAGAAAACGATAAGAGACGAGAGAGCAGACAGGAATTGTAGGATGCGGAGAATTCGTTGAAGGAGGGGGTAGAATTTCGAGTTATGGAACCTGGATAAGAAGCCTGCCATTTTGAAGAACTTTTGATTGTGACTTGAAATTTAATTTGATTATAAGAGTACAGATAGAGAGAGCGATGAAGAAGAGCACTTGCACTCCTATATAGAATAAAAGTTGCGACAAGATTGCAATGACGCAGCCAGATTCTTAACCAAGTGACATAAAAATCATGGAAAATACATGTATCTACAAGTTGCTGTGTTTTGATATGCTGGCATATATTTTGCCCTGTTATTGATAAAAATGACTTCACTTGGGTCTTCGTAAGTCGCGAAATCCAACTCTCCATCGGACCATTGATCTTGCACTACAACTATCAAGCCCAATAAAACAACTCCAGTGTGGTTTCGAGAAGTCTCCTGCTACCTCAGTGGCTGAAGTACCCTAGTAGATAGCCACTGGTTAAACAATTACTCTGGGGAAGAGTATTATACGTCCATTCTCGAAAATTTGAATGCCACTCGACTCACTCAGACGCTCGGCATTCCTTTGCCTCTGACTAGGGAAGAGATTGAATTGTATTTGACGAAGTGTATCATTTCCAGTTTGATAGTCAAAAGTTCAATGGTAATTGTGTCAAGGAACTTTAGAGAAGCTGGAACTACTAGACTTGCTTCTTGACTATACTGAGGTCCCGCCGTGACACAAGAATGACGACTCTTGAGCAACAAAAACCAAATGTTTAAGTATACCAGAAAATGGCTTTGTGATGTTAGGTACCACCACGACAATTTAGAGGCTATCATAACCTTAATTCGTGCAACAGCAAGGATATTTTTGCTACCGCTTCTAAACCATATCAAGAAGTAACTGTATGCTGCTCTTATATCATCGAGGCCTATTTGATTCCATTTGTGAGAAAACAAGTAAAGTGTTAGCAAGAAAAGAAGGTGAAACCGCATATTATCAAGGCCTACTATAAAAGTCTTGGAGATTGTATACTGAATTGAATTCTTTTCTTTTTATATGTACACTTGATAAATACTAAATACATTATTAGCTCGAGCAAAAATCTATCTTTAGTGTATTAATAAGTTAGTGTATTAATGAGTTGTGCAATTAAAGCGACAACATTCCTTCTCACCGCCTTTGTCTCATCAATTAATTGTGACAACCCCTTTCGAACATAGTAAGCTGCACCGCCACGAGAACCTAGCTCCAGACCCTCGGACCATTAGTTCCACGCGATCAGATTGGAGGCTGGGGAAAAGGTTGGAGTAACGTCTGCCAAGCTTGTGGCACATTAGGGCGGGTCAAAAGCTCCCCCCTGTTGAAATGTAGTTATGGTGGCAATCTTCTCATGTGCAGTCTCAGGGAGATGCAGATGTTGTACCATGGCGGCAGCAATGATAACCAAGAATATCATGATATTGTTCATGGATGGCAATGCGACCCAGGGAGGAAGGCTGCGTCATAGTTACCTGCCATTCATTTGCTGAGCACTCTCTGATCACAGTTCTTGAAAGACTTGGCCGGCTCCGACGATACTATAAAATTTCCTGTTCAAGGGCCCTGCGATGTTCTCAGTAATATAAGCAAGCTTTACGTTTTACTTGAGATTTAACGTGGTTCATCATCATACGTGTTACGGTTTTTAATACACATAAATCGGATACCCTACTTTCGAACCACCCCCCTTTTAAACCACCCTTTTACACCAAAAATCACTTTTTAGATCTATTAATATCTCTATTAATATTCAATACAATTTAATGAAAATTTATACATATATAATTTAAATTGATTTAAGCTTATTCTGAAATTTTTAGATTTTTAGAATTTTTTAATATTGAAAATTAAAACTTTAAAATATCGATTTTTGAATTTATATAAGAATCATATACAAATTTAAGTTTTTTATTAAATCTTTTATAACTTTTTAATAATATTAATTAAAAAAAAACTATATGTATTTTTGAAATATTTAAGTTTGAATCTATATAAAAATTCAAAAAAGAAATTCAAAAAAATTAATAAATATAGAAATATAATATAAGATCTTACAATAAGTTTAAAATAATATAAATAATCTCTATTATTTTAAAAATATCCTTATAAATATTTATTTATAAAACTTTTTTAATTTTTTCTGAATCTTTTATATTGAATATATTATAAATTTATAATAAAATTTTATAATTTATTTTTAGCAATTTTTATTAGAAAGTTATTAAAGATTTTATAAAAAGTTTAAATTTGTATATAATTTTTATCTAAATTTAAAAATCAATATTTTGAAGTTCTAAATCTCAATATAGAAAAATCCTAAAAATCTGAAAATTTCAAATTAAGCTTAAATCGATCTAAATTATATATAATATAAATTTTCATTAAATTCTATCCATAAATAAGAAAGTTATAAATTCCATTTTTAGTATATTTTGGATATAAAAAGTGATCCAAAAGGGGGGTGGCCCGAAAGTAGGGTACTCGACTTAATCGTCCCCTTTGTTCTAACATTCCTACATTTAGCTTTGCTCAATCAAGTTTTAGAGAGGAGGCGAAATGGAGGTAGCCATGAATGAATGCCCCTTTGAATGAATAATTGCATGCTGTGGTCATGCCTATAACCCCCAGGTAGGGTGATTTGGCGATAGAAGCATTCCCAGAACGCAACATGAGGTCATAAGTGCTTGAGTGGTGGCGCGACCATCTTAATTGATGAATTTCGACTATTTAAATTTTGACCATTGCTTTTATTTTCAACACTGCAAGCTTAAATAGTTTCCAATCACACTCACCATAGTTTCTCACAGATCCAGATCTATATTTGATATGGATGACATTCTGACGACCTCAAGCTCGAACCAAAGGCTTCCAATTTCTGACGAAAACTCTCCCTCTAATCCTCCAACCAATGAGGTATCTGATTCTGGCTTGGGTGCCGGCACCTACACTCTGTTTCGACCACAAACTCCGGTGCAGACGGAAAGTAGCCATGCGCAAGATGTGATTAATCAAAACTCTAAAGTACAAGTAGACGTTGATCAGAAAACTATGCAACATCCCGAGACTCATGCCAACAGGACCCTAGCTCAGGAGTATTCCAAGAATCATGTTATGCGAAATGAGGATCTAGCATCATCGGGCAGTGTAGATACCAAGGCTACTCCAGCGCCAACTGCAGGTGCGCCTACACACGAGAATACCAACGCTTCTGGCCATACACTCAAAGACAAGATAGATGTAATGTTAGCTAGCGCAAAAGAGACAGCAACCTTGATAGACCCAGATACCGCGCAGGCACAATTCGTTTCTGCTAAAGCAGCCGTGAACACAAAATTGAGAACGATGACGAACTTAACAGCTCAAAATATCACTGAGCAAGTGTGGGAGAACTTTTCAGCTGACAGTCATGAGATAGCACGCAAAGACTATGGTATTCGAGGTGCTGTGCAACAGCATGATGGTAGTCCCGTCGATAACATTAGAGATATCGGATGGCACCGACCTCTCACTGAGATTCCGGATCCATTGCTCGGAGGTCTACGAAATGGAAGATTGTTTTCGTTGATAAGGCGTTTCAACAAGGTAAGAAGATCACTAGCATATGGATAACATTCTAATTCAAACAGGATGTATTTGATGTTCGTGCAGTCGATCTCGAAGTTTCTCGTGGGCTTGACCTAAACGATGCCTGGTCGGACGAACACGCTGCAGACAAGGCTACTTTGCATCTCGAGCGAATGTACTTATCGATGATACTTGGATTCGCTAGCCTCGGGAAACATATTGCTAGACTGCGGTCATGGAAAGAAACTCGTCGAACAAGTGTTTTCTGTGCTGTATGTTTTATCCCAGTGTTAATAAGGGTAGCTGCTTACAAGATATAAGGCATATTTTACAGCATGGGCTCTTGATCTGTTATTGCCCTTAGTGCTTGGCAGTCTGATTGCGCTAGTCTCTTCAAAAGAGGCTCGCAACATTCTATTTCCTCCAGCTCCCCTAGCTCTGGTAAATATGGGAACTGGCGGACTCCAAAAACCTCAAGCTGGTCAACTGGGAACAAGCAACACTCTCACCGGCGCACCGGAAAAGCAAGAGGGTGAAGCTGTTGAAGAAGAAGCTGCCAATTTTGTAAGTAACATTCATCACATGGTTGAAAGAGCAATCGGAATGCACGAGAAGAAGCAGAATGAGGGAGACCCGCTAGAAAGCAAGGTTCCAAAACCTATTAGAAACGCTGCGAAAGCTGTTCACTCGGCTGGATTCGCCCCTGCAGATACCGGACACGACAAATACATGACTCAAAAACCCATGGAAGAAATGCTCTGGGACAAAGCTAGCCCAGAGAAAATTAAACCCATCATCCAGACAGTACCTCACATCATAGGCGAGATTGTCGACAATTGGGAGCGCTTCACCAAGTATGTTATATCATGATTTTGCTTTGTGACTTTTGGCTAACCTTTTAAGTGCGATCTCGGCCACACCACCATTCCCAAAGATGACTTTTCTACGGATTGACGCTGTTTTAATACCTACATTTCTAATGTCACTATTTGTCAGCTACTATATGGTGTACAAAGGAATTGGTTTCTTCATTGGCTTTGGTGTTTTTGGCGACCCAATCTTGACACCAAGTCTTCAGTGGCTGAACCAAAATTCTTCTAATTGGAAAGAGCTTTTAGAGCCCAAGAAGTAGGTCACTTCTCGTTCGTGGCTAGAACACAAAACTAAAACCATGCAGTAACATTCTCCGTGGTGTTCCCACAAATAACCAGCTAACACTCACACTCCTGAGAATTGGCGAGGCCAATCATACGCCTCTCCCTCCAGTACGAACCTCTCACCCCAATGATTGCAATCAGAAGCAAACCATTGATGAGGATAACATTACGCTTGACGCCACGGAGACCGAAATTCAGCACGCCATTCAACCTTCTGGAAACATGGAGAAATCTCATCCGCAAGAAGAACAGCAGGGCGAGGGCCAGAAGCATAAAAAGCTGGCTAAGTTTATCCGTGCCCTGAAGGCCAACACCAAGGCATCTGTAGAGACGAAATTAGCCGTGGACCATGTCAGAGCTAAGGTTGGTAACGAAAAATCCAAAGGACAACTGGGCATTCTTCCGAAGAAGGAGAATCTGATTTACGCAGGCCCTAGCGAGTATAAGGCTCGATATGATGGCAAGAAGGGCTGGCTCTACCTCACGGGCAACTCTATATTGTTCAGCCACAAAGAGCAGGGCGACAGATCGTCTCTAGTTGTTGAGATACCTTTTGCAGAGATCAAGCAACTAAAGCGAGTAGCGGCATTCTCAGCCAAGGCTGCGGAGGTGGCAGCTGATTGGGGTACTGACAAAGATCTATTGGGGAGTGTAGAGATTGATGGGTTGAATGACAAGACGTGGAAGTTTACTGCGCTGCCGGAAAGGGATGAGCTGTTTAACCGCTTGGTCGCTATTAGTGGGCACCGATGGGAGAATTTGTGAACTGGGTGGTTGTGTACGATAGGAAGCAAGTAGCAGGATGGGTAAAAGGGTCATTGAATTTTTATGGGGGAAAACTTCTTTTCGTGTTTGATAAGAAGTAAGAATTGTATAACGTTGCCTGGTAGCGAAAATTACGACGAGCCATCTGAATAAAGCAAGTGACATAGAGATCGATATTGCGTGAACGCGTAAAGGAGGTGCCGCGGGAGTATAGCCTGATGCGGCTTATCGATAGCCGGGGCTAATCAAGGGGGCGAATAATTGATTAATTGAATGATTGATTAACGTCCTGTATCAGTCTAAGAATGTCTAGGACGGCTACAGCCTATGAATTTAGCAAGTCTATATATCGTATTTACAAAAGGGTTCTTTAGTAGTAGTTACTAACGATCAAGTAAATATTGAGGGGCTAGCCCTGCTAGCCCTATGGAAGTAAAAAACAAGAAGCAGGACAGTTGTTCCAGCAAACAATTCTTTCTTATACACGGTATTGGTATCCGGATCGGGGAGTTTTGATTGTTTTTAGATCCTCAGGCTCGAGATTTGCATACTTGAAAAGCGCGGCCGTTTGATTGATCAAATTAATCGAAAGAGGTTTTAGCTGAGGTCTGTCAACAATTTTTAGACACAATTCTCTTCATCCTAGTATCTGCTTGGAGACTTGCATAGAAAGACACAGAAGATTTTGATCAGTATTACTATCCTTCGAGATAGTTTACAAGCTATTCAAACTGAAATTGAAACCAATAGTTTTGGTATACTGATACCTACGGAAAGGCGAAGATTACGAGCTGACGATGAATGATAATCTGGACTGGATTGAGAGACACAAAAAAGGCCATAAGGGAGCATACATAAACATCGCTTGAAGATAGAGCTATATGTTTGAAGTGCGCATCTATCAATTCCTACATAAATCAAAAGCCAACAGGTCTTTTGTCTAGAAGTCTCCAGGTGTGATATCCTGCACAAAAGAATGAATCCCGTTCTGTCTAAATATCAGACTCTCGAATAAAACTGAAGTTCGAAACCGGCTGAACACTTAAATCGTTGGGGAAACGGTAAGACGCTATGAATGATTATCGGTAAATGTCATGCAGATTTGTTACATGGTTAGACTTACAGGCGTGAAAGTGGTGGTTTTCGTTATCCTTGTCGTACTCGTAATTGTGGTTGTGCGAGTTGCCCTAGCCCCAATGATCTGTCAGTGAAATGGACGAATCATTATTTAATTTACACTTACGGCTCCTGAATTGAGATGAGAGATAATGCCATCCCTAAATTTATCGTCGTGGTGCTACCCAGACCAGTGACGTAAATTGTTTTCGTCGAATCTTGAGTGCTAGATGCAGAGCCTAATGATTCAGAACTCGACTTGTCGATTCTAGAAGTTGAGGTTATGTTCTTCGCCGATAAACTTGTAGATACTATCTTTGTTGAAAGTACGAGAGTTCCGGGCGTGACAGTTATATATATTTCGGGAGTAAATGCTAACACGGCGGTCTAAAAACGTTAGTATTGTCTGCGATTATATGTCAAGGTACTCATACCGAAGATACTACAGTGGAAACTGAGATGGTCCCAGTGTAATAAATCGGTAGATATTCCGTATGAATGACCCAGATTTCAGTGACAGTTGTACACATTTGAACGCCGTCGGATGACAGTCCGCATATTTGAACGTGTATATCTGATGGATCATCTGCTGCAATTGACCGCCATGGAGCGGCATAATATGTTGTAACATTTTGAACATAGTTATTCGTCAACGGCGGAATTTCCTGGCGCTTGTGAAGAACTGAGACGCTGCTCGCAGGAGATGTTGTAGTAGCTAAAGAATAGCCGTACTGTGTAGAGAAGGTGACAATCTCATCACATTCAGAGACAGTATGCTTAGTAAAGTATCCTGTTAAGACAGTTGAACATTTAGTCGTGATGATAGTCTGAAAAGAAGGCGAACATGATGTAGTCCTTGCACCTGGCAAGTTGCACGTCTCGAAAACGGGAATTACTGAAGTGACATTCATCCCTTGGGAAGTACGGTTGGGTTGAATAGACTTAGTAGCAGGCCAAGGCAACGTATAGTTGATCGAGGATGTCCGCCCAGTGGATCCTTCTTGGTAGGTTTGTGCTACACTAACATGTTTGTAATTCTGTTGACCATCATCATCTGTCGACCTACTATAGGTGAGATGAATAAGAGCCGACTTCTTGTTTCTTCCTGAAACTCCGATGGGTAAAATGCAAAGAACCGAAGTAAGTACCAACAAAGTCAACATGATCGTTCAGGAATCTCAAATCAAGAAGAGAAAAAAGAATATCCAGGTCTGCAGAGGGAGAAAAAGTAAGAACAAGAAAGCGAGGAAGAATAAATCGTCAACGATTTACATATAGCAAGAACATTATGATACATGACAACGCGCAAGACGCGAAAACGAGTGGTATTTGAATGTTGGCGTTACTACAAGCCAAAATTACCGTGGAATGTAAATGTGATAAGATTTGTTGATACCCAGACTTCACTGTTGCTTAGCATTCTTAAGACTATTTCTTAGCATCATCATGAAATTGTTAAATTCTCATGAGCCTAGAGGCCTGGAAAGTTCGGATGCATAGAAATGCAACTTTGCAATGTATGCTTGATGATGACAAAATCGAGGGCGGCGCGATGCATGTGGAAGAGAAGTGGTGTTGTGTTGTCGATGAGTTTTGTGTGAACATTCCGGTCGCCGTATTCGAATGCCCCTCTCTACCACGAAGCTTTGTTATCAAAGGCAACAGTGTAAAGATTTCCGTGTAAACACAAACCAATTCTCAAGTACAAGTCCAGTACCACGATCGAGTATTCTCAAGACCCGGCCTTTTCATAACATTGATACAAGTGTAGCTTTGAGCTGGATTGAGATCAAAAGGCTTGATTAATCATGCCTCCCAAGAAGCCGAAACAAAGTACAGCTACACCCGAATCTCTGTCTCCAAATTGGCCCCCCTTCAAACCTCTCATGCCACCTTCGAATTTATCGCTCGAAACTATCGTTCCTGGTCAGATCATTACAATACCAAACTTCTGGACATCTGCTTTGTGTAAAAATTATGTTTCATTCTTGAAAGGGTTGCCTTTAACCACAACACCTGGAAAGCCTAAAAAGGGTGATGCATTGAGAGTCAATGATAGATTTCGAGTTGATGATTGGAACTTTGCCGAACGGCTTTGGAGAGAGACAGGACTGAAGGAGCTTCTATGTGGTGAAATTGAGAGGGAATATGAAGAAGAGGGCGATAAGATGAGCGAAGAAGAACGAAGAGAGTTATGGTGAGTGCTCCGCCGCTTCATTGTGTCTAGTGATATACACTCGTTAAGATGATGCTGACAATTGTACCTCACAGGGGAGGAGATGTTGTAGGTCTGAATCCCGCCATTCGGATATATAGATATTCTAAGGGGCAGTTCTTCGATTGCCATTGTAAGTCATCCTCTCACGAGTCACGGGAATTTCTCATTCTCACTTATTCTCTCAGATGATGAATCAAATCTTATCACGCTTCCAACAAAGCCTGCGTCTACTCCCGCAAAGACAACCTGGACACTATTATTATACCTCACGTCTCCAGCAACAGGTTGTCTAGGAGGAGAAACAGTCTTTTACCCCGAGGACCTTCCTAACAAGAAGTCTCCTATCGACAAACCTGTTGTCATAAACCTCGAGACTGGAATGGTATTATTGCACAAGCATGGAGATGATTGTATGTTGCATGAGGGAAGAGAAGTTACGGAGGGTGAGAAGTGGATTATAAGGACTGATGTCTGTATAAAACGTGTGACTAAGTCAACCTTCTGATAGTTACGAATTAGTGCTGAATCTCATTACCAACCTGCGTAGGTGGTGACCTACATTTTGGGTATAAAATATTTATGCATATTTGAATAAATTATGCAGAAATGCATTATTCAGCGTGGCGGACCAACCAATTCGGTAAACCTTCCCTGTTCTCCGCATCAACTTTCTTACCCAATACCTCTTGTTGGATGAGAGACAACGTGGTACAGCTAAGAAAGCTTCCCCTCACCAATAACTGTATTTCATCACATACGAACGAGTTCATGGCACACAGATGGCTTACGATGCTGCCACTTCAAGATATATTGATTTGCTTTCACACCGATACTCTGTCTACTAACACATAGCAACCAATAAGTTCAGCTTAGATACTTCATAACGAGAACACCCAGCTTATCCTGCTCAGAATAACAAGACATCCTCCTCAATTATGTTTTCCAAAGTATCTCTAACTCGAAACTTTCTCCGAGCTGCCAAGCCAGCCACAGTTCCACGTAGAGCTCTTATGACCCTCCCCTCATTTTCGCTCGAAGGAAAGACTTGTGTTGTCACCGGCGCTGGAAGAGGAATTGGGAAAGAATGCCTTACTGCTTTTGCGCTCAGTGGTGCCCGCGGGGCTTGCGTTGACCTTACTCGCTCCATTGGTGAGCAATCGATCGATCACATCAAAACGAGTATTGAACCCACGAATCCCTCTTACAAACCCGACCTCCGTGCTTATGGATGTGACGTGGCATCGGAAGAAGCAGTACAAAAAACATGGGCAGAGATCATCGAAGATTTTGGACATGTCGATGTAGTTGTTACAGCTGCTGGTATTGTTGAGAATTATGAGGGAGAGAAATATCCTTTTGATAAATGGAAAAGAATGGTGGACATAAATCTTAATGGAAGCTTCTTGTTCGCCAGGGAGGCAGGGAAATACTGGATCGAGAAAAAGTCCAAGGGAAGCTTGATTCTGATATCGTCGATGAGCAGCATGATTTGTGTCAGACCACAAAAGCAAGCGGCGTATAATGCTGTAGGTATACATTTTGTTCACAGCTAGCCCGCCCTGCTAGCGAAAGAGTTCGAAAAGGTCATCGCAAGTTCCATTGCTAACACGACAAAGAGTAAAGGAGCCGTCTCGATGCTTGGTAAAAGTTTGGCCACAGAGGTAAGAATCCTAGTATTTTGCTCCCGGAATAGGACTTACCTGAATTCAGTGGGGCCCCTATGGGATTAGGGTCAACAATTTATGTCCCGGATACGTGAAAACAGACCTCATAATTGATCTTTTGGAAAAGGAGGGAAAACACATCGAAGAAAATTGGGTAAAAGATATACCAATGGGGCGTCTCAGCCATCCAAGTGAGTTACAGGGAACGCTCGTCTACATGGCGAGTGATGCATCAAGCTATCTGAATGGCTGTGATCTTGTAAGTTCAACATTGCATGGATAATACATTCACACGTGCCTCTGACTAATTCTCGTAGGTCGTTGACGGTGGTTATACCTGCTATTAATTTCTGCAAGGCATTCAGGCAATTCTGGGTCACTTTAGTATACCATCAGAGATTCATCAATCTTTCACATTTTCTTCAAACCAAGAAGCTTTCATTGATGCTATCCCGATAAAGTGCACGGATTGTGGTTTGACAGAAGTCCGTAAAGTAGTTCTTTGCCCCGCATGACAAAACATTTCGCGTCTCAGCTATGTTCCTCTCTCTAACCCAGCCCACGTAATTCTTTTTGTTTTGCCAGATTTTTGTAGCAATTGATTCGTCCAAACTTGATCAATTGTGGAAATTGTGCTTGCTTTTCACTTCTGCTACAAGCTTCTCAACATTCTTCGTCACTCTGTACTAAGCTTTGCCTCGGCTATCGTGCCTTCAGCTTTATATTCCATATAAATGCACCATAAGTGGAAGCTTAAACTCTTCTAAACAATTTCATACGATCTGCCTTTCTATTACAATGAAATCCTACTCCAATACAAGCCCTTAGACCTTTCAAATCCCAATTCTATGCCATACAACCAGTCGTTATACCAAGCCTGTGCCAACTTACCTCTCAGCTCATAAACAAACTTTTCGAAACAGAGACTTCACATCGTCCACAACTACCAAAATGCGTATCGCCATTGTTATCGCTGTAATGTTTGCATCTGTCGCGTCGGCTCGTGTCATTCCAGCATTCTTGACGTCTCCATCAACCGAAGGTGTTACGACGAGAAGCATTAGACATTCGACTACGCTAGATCGCAGTCTTCTCGAGGTGGACATGTTGTAAGGAGGTTGTCTAAGGATGAAAGGGTCGATGGTCACTATCCTTTTCTGTGTCGTTAGCTGGTCCATCGGCCTCTTGTTCGTTGCAAATGCGGGCATGGAGGAGTTTTTGATATCATTAATGGGTGATATGTGCTTGGTTATAGGTCTAGCGACGCGTGTGTTACAGTCGAGGAGTTAAGGGCGAAGGATCAGGATGAAGGAAGTTCAATGAAGTGTTTAAGCTGGTTTTAATACCGCGAATATCCTTTGTGGAAGCGGAATTTCCGAGAAGATGGGCATCTTCATGTTTTCAAGCAATGCAAACGGTTATACGTCCAGTTCTCGTCTTAACATGTGATCATGAAGTTGCTCATAAATAACTTGACATTGACTTGACGGACACAAACTGCTTCGACCCCAGGTCCTTCCTCTTTTAATGCTTCAGAAGACAATCAGCCATACACCCTCTGGACTGTGGATAGTGACGCCTTTGATTTTACCGTACCAGATTTTTCTTCAACTAGAATACCAACATCATAGAACGAGAGTATCATAAAGCGCACACGTAGCTTGACGCAGAACTTATCAAGACAGTGAACTTGTGACCATGACTTACCATTCTCAAGAACCAAGCTGGTGGTTGCTTACCACTGGTCCATGTCCACGCTCGCCAGGTCGATTATGCCGTAATATCGGACCATGAGGTCCCATTTCCGGCGTCTTCTTCTCTTTCTCTTCATCCACCCGCTCGCCCACAGCACCATCACGATTTGCTCTCCAAACACCACCCTCCTCACCACCAAATTCTTCTTTCTTCCATACCTCCACCTTCTCCTTACATTCCTCCAGGGCTTCTTCACCTGCTCTCCAAGCTGCCTGGCGATGAGGCGAAGACACTGTAATCAAAATGCTTTCCTCTCCAATAGGTACAACTCCCAATCGATGGATCATGGCAATGGATGTCAATGAGTGTTTTTGAACAATTGCTTTACAGATACTGAGCATAGTTTGTAAGGCCCGTGGCTCGTATGATGTATATTGAAGTTCTTTCACTGGTTTCCCTCCAAAGTTGTCTCTGGTAGTACCTACGAATGATTCAGTACGATACTCCGAGATCTGTATCTATCTCGTTGATTTTACCTGCGAAAAGAACAATGGCTCCGGCCTTTGGGCTTCGGACTTTGTCCATCATCACTTTGGCGTCAAGATACTCGTGAGTTAATGCTACATAGCAATTATCTTCGCAAAGCTCTTTAGCCATGATTTCAAGAGTTTTGAGATAATTAAAATCTTGTGATGCAATCCATTAGAGGAGAACTCGTAAGGCCTGCGCTGGGTGTTCATGTGGTGGGGTGGGGTAGGTAGCCTTCTGTATTGTGGCGTGTAGTGGGGTCAGCCTTGCTTGTTTGTGGCTCAAAGCTGACCTTCCAAAAACAACCAGCCTTGATTTAACAAACATCATTAATGAATTCACAATCGACTTACCAACATTTCAATCACATATACTTCCCATCTCAATACTCGTAGTTCAATAACTCAGGATTACACTCATAATTTATATCTTATGACTTTCACGGCGTCATGAGTTCCAGACCTTACAAACCAGGCCCTGATGCCGACATGTATGACGATCAAGAATATTCGAGCGAATACCGACAACATGGAGCGCCTGGATATGATTCCTATCAATCGCGGAAGGGTAATCGATAGTTTAGACATGCAGACTCCCAAGTATATGTGCTGATCATCGATGTCTTAAGATAACTCAAGGAGTCCTCTACGAGGACCTGCTTCTGGCAGACAATACGACTCGGAGTATACAGAACGGGCATATCGAGACGAGCGCAACCAGTATGGCAACAGATATGAGCGCGGTTATGACAGGGAAAGATCAAGATCTCCGCGCAGAGAGAATAGAGGCCGCTATACGGACCGCGATCGCGAGGGATACAGATCTCCAGTCCGGGGAAGAAGTCGCAGCCCTTCGCCTTACCATGGCGCACCACCAAATCGGACAATAATCTTTGAGGGACTGCCTCTCGATTTGACACAGGAAGACGTTGGCCGCCCCATTCCTATATTAATATCGAATCTGAGAATCCACTTCTAGACTAAGTGTTAATGTGAATAAATTTGGAATTCTGGCTAAGCATAGCGATTGGCCACCTTGGCCATTGTTTTGAGTTATAGATATCAAAAGAACTTCAAACAAACTTCAAAGTTGAGGGTGTGGAAGAGATCAGATTGATCAAGGACAAGAAAACTGGTAGGTCAATCTTTCCTCGAAGGGAACGTACGTCTCACAATTTTGCTCGTAGGTATATCAAGAGGTTTTGCCTTTGCGCAATTTTATACTCTACCAGAAGCGAAACGATTCCTCGAGGAACATTACCCAATAGTTTCTTTTCATGGTACTTCGCCGGCGTCGGAACCAAGTAAAGTTAGAATCGCTTACAGCCGTGAGAAAACTGATCAAGAACGAGCAAGCAAGCATGAGGATGATTGGAAATGCGATGTTGTATGTTATGTTTTATGCCGTTTGGATACTCAAGCCTAATCAGATCTAGTGCTACACATTGAATTATTCATACAGGATGATGTGTTTCAAGTGCAATGGGCCCAGAACTAGTACGTTGCGACCAGCCACATTCACGGTCTGTATCGCTAACAATCTTAGGATCAACTGCTCATGGCGTTGTTGTGACACAAGGAAATGTATCTAGTTACTCAGGCTTCGCCACAACTGGAGACAGTGATGCGTCACCCGATGAAACCGCTTCTCAATTTCTCTTACTTAGAGGCCTTGAACCTGGCGTGACGGAGGAGATTCTTGCCAAAGGAGTGTGCAAACTTTACAAGACCAAAGCAAGCACATCAGGAGATACACACACGGCTAAGAAGACGAAGATTTCCTCTACTTCTGGTGATGCTTCGCTTGGCGCAAAAGAAGGCTCTCTCCGTCGTGTGCTACTGGTTCGAGATCGTAAGACAAACGACAGCTGGCGATATGGGTTTGCCGAATTTGGTTCGGTTGAGGATGCACAAAACGCGTTAGCTAAGTACAATGCTACAGATAAATTTACGATATCTTCGAAGCCTGTCATTGTCTCGTACATCCACGCAGGTGTATTTGTGCCTGTCCTTGACTTGCTGAACGAGGAAACAGCGAGGTTCACATTTAGCCCACTGTCAAACTCTGCGATTAGTTTGATGTACTGGGATGCTACAGCTTATGCCAGCGAGTTTTCCACTGTAACTCCAGAAGCTCCTGTAAAGCATGCGAACAACCAGCGAACCAGGGTAGCTACGGCGGCGGCAAATGAAGGACTTGTTGGTGGCAAGGATGGAGAACCTCGGTCCAAGAAAAGAAAAGTCGAGAAAGAGTCTGCTGCCAGTACTAAGACAGTTGTAGCGCCACATCTCCAATTCTGGACCAATAGACATAATGAGATTCATGGTCTACCTGCGAAAGAGTTTGAGGACAATGATTCTGAATCGACCGTTGGGATTGCAAAATCAATGCCAGAACCCATTGCAGATTCTCCATCTACTCAATCATATGCAGATCTGGGCCGCAAATGCTGTCTCTTATGTTCCCGCCAATTCAAGACAGAAGCAGAAGTCAACAAACACGAAAGAATCAGTCAGCTTCATCGTGATAACACGAAGAATGAAGAACTAGTTTCGAAAGCTTTAGCTAAGCTCAAGAAATCCGAAAGCTCCGCTTATAGAGATCGAGCCAAAGAACGCCGTCAGGCTTTCAATCAACCGAAGCAACCTGCTGCGCAACACAACAAATCAAAAACTTCGTCTTCCACGACCAGCCCTCTTTCGCACAAAGGGGAACAAAGCGAGCCTGTGGCACCAGTTCAGTCAAAAGGTGCAGCACTGCTGGGAAAAATGGGTTGGACTGCGGGAGAAGGCTTGGGCGCCCAGGGCACAGGAAGAACAGAGGCTATTGCGACAGAACTATATACTCAGGGGGTGGGCTTAGGAGCTGAGGGTGGTAAGCTCGGTGATGCGATGAAGGAAGCGGAGAGACAGACAAAGGGTGATTATAAGGCGTTTGTGGGCAGGACCAAGGAAAAGGCTAAGGAACGATATGAGACTTTGGGTTGACTGCTTTGGCGAGCTTGAATGTGTATTGTATTGTATTGTATTGTATTTTTAGATATATAATGATACTGAGTTCATATCAGGAATGAAGTTCTTTCAGAATCTTTCTATATGGGTGGTGCATATCTTTTGACAGTAAAACTGTTCAGAGTTTTCACTCAAGCAGACTTCAAAATTTTGACTTGAAAGAGATTTGAGGCTGTAGAGGGATGAGATGGGATGAGATGGGATAGTTACTGCCAAGGTGCCGAGACTCTAGCGAAGGGGTTGAGTTCCGTGGATTATTCTCATCCCACCGAATAATGATATGATATCTAGAGCATGTAGAAAATTCCAATTCTACAATTATCATGATCTACCTATCCACTCCTATCCACTATTCAACTTCCAGACGCTAAAAATATTATGTACATAACCTTCCCAGCTGCAAATCTAGACTATTCAGTCTTCCCGTGTCTGTACTCTCTTGCATACAAGCAGATAGATACCTATGTATGTATGATCCTCCCCCTTTACTTTCCTTCCACCTCTACTTCCGTAACAACGCCTTCTTCCGCCGAGGCCTTCCAATCCGCCTCGCCCATTTCGCCATTCCAACCATTAGCTACCAGGAACTTTCTGAAATTTTCATCTCTGATACTTAAATCCTCACCCGTGATATCTTCCACAAAGAAATAAGTAACCGCAATGCCCACCACGCCACAAATAGCCGCAATAATGAATGTCCACTGCTTACCCAAATTCGTTTGAATTGGAGTGAAAGCTTGGGTACCGACTGCCGCTCCGACTTTGCCCAGGGCGGCAGAAAGCCCGTAGCAAGTTCCTCTAACGGATGTTGCGTAGGTTTCGGAAGAGATAAGTCCTAACATGTCACCTGGTCCTAAGTTTCCCGAGCTTTGCATCAAGCCATAGAAAACCACAAAGAGGGGGACGATCTTGGTTATTTTATGGTATGATAATCCGATTATCAGACCAAACATTAGGTATCCGAGGAAACCAATCATCATTGTGTTTTTCCGGCCGATGCGATCACAAAGTAATGCACCAATAATGACACCGGGTAATGCGATAACGCCGAGTAAGAGATTCCATTCTCCAGTTTTGAGAACGACGGTGCTAGGGTCCGAGGGAACTACCGAAGCAATAATTGTGCCTGAAAAAACACCATTGGGAAATGTTACAAAATCATAAAGAAACCATGCGCCGCATGTTCCGATAAGTGATTTCCAGTAGTAGCGTAGAACAAGTTTGTATGGGACATTTTTCTTAATGGCTCCCTTGCGGTAGAGTGTACTATTGAGCATCTTGATTCGGAAGTAGAAGACTGATAATGGGAGGATGCAGCCAATTCCGAAACATACTCTCCATACAGTGTTATAATGCTTGTAGTCACATGCTGCGAGCACAATGAGAAAGATCGAGACGGCCAGTGGACCACCAAAGGACAATGGAAGATTGGTGACAAGAATGAAGATAGGGCCGCGATTTTTGGGGGCATGCTCATTGGCGGCTTCAGAGGCGGAAGTAGACGATGCTGGATATTCACCTGAAAAGAAGTTAATGGGCTGGAAAGAAATAAATCTCAAGGGACGGAAATATAAGATGATGAGATCCAACAATCCTGACTGCAGTCCTGATTTGGAATTTTTGAATGCTCGAAAGGCACATTAATGATTTTCAAAGTTTTGATCTCTTGATGTGTTGATCGAATTTGACTTCGTAGATGTAATATTGAGAACGAATTCCAGACTGAACAGCTACATTTTGTTTCTGGACTGCAGTCGGGACAGCGATACGTTTTATGAGATTTAAAGAACTTACCACCAACACCAAATCCTATGATACCTCTCGCAACAGTCATCATCCAGAACATGCTAGAGAAAGTTAGAATATTGCTGCACCGTTTTCACCAAGGTCAAAGAATAGAAATTGATGTGCACTTGAGTTGTTTCAAAAATTGGAGAGCTTTCGAAAGAAAGGCATTTTTGGGACGTCCAACGGTCCATCATTTGAAGAATTCAGTGGATTTTGGACATCGTGAGAAATCGATTTTATTGAAGAAGAACATACCCATCTATTGTAACGCCTTTGGAAGCTGTGGCTAATATGCCACCAAATACAATCATCAAAGTCGTAGTGATAATA